CAAAAGCAGAAACAGAAAAAGTTAAAAAAAAAAAGAAAGAGAAAGAAAGAAAGAAAGAAGAAAGAAAGAAAGAAAAAGGCTGTGTTTGTAGTAAATACAGAAAAGAAGAAGCATTTGAATAAACAAAATATTTGGGCAAATTTTCATAAACAAAATTTAAATATTTGTGTCTATAATTATATTCCCTCTGGGCAGTTCAGGGGTAAACTCACAGATTTCCTGCCCTTCCTCTATCACCACTCCCCACACTGAAGTGGCCTTCTTTACTGATTCATGTGTCCAGACTGTCATACCATGCAAACTCATTTCTGTTGTCACTTTACAGGGAAGAAAAAAAATCTTCAGAATTGTTTTTGGGGGGCTCCGTTGGAGCCTGGGTGGCTCCGTTGGTTAAGCGTCCAACTTCTGCTTGGGTCACGATCTCAAATCTGTGAGTTCCAGCCCTGCTTTGGGCTCTGTGCTGACAACTCAGAGCCTGGAGCCTGCTTCAGATTCTGTGTCTCCCTCTCTCTCCGCCCCTCTCACCCCACCTCAAAAATAAATAAACGTTAAAAAAAAAAAAGAATTATTTTTGCTCCACGGTTTCTTTAAAAAGTCCAATGCCGAGAATTATGTTATTTAAAAAGAAGAAGGAAAGAGACCAATTTCTAGTAAGTCTCAGTGAATCTGTATCAATTGCTCAAGCTTCTTGGACAACAGTGGCTGTAGGAGAGGTCTTAAGCACCTTGGAACAGTCTTTTATTGATGGACCATGACCATTGTGCACTCTGAGTAGTAGAAAGGGAGCCCAAAGCCTTCCTTATTCTCTTTTTCCTTTATTTTCCTTTAGGAATTTGGGTTGAAGAAATAGGAGTTGAGGCTGGCTATGGAGAAGATTAAGAAAAAAAGAAGAACGTCTCTCTGAAGGATTATTTCAATTCGATTCTGCTGCTGTGTGAGAAGAGTTGAGAGAAAAAGCTGTAAGGACTATAATGCAAAAAGTACTGAATAGCAAATAAAAATGAGTAAATTGAAAAATAGTCTTCAGGGGGCTTTTTGAGAGACCAAAGCATTATTATTAGTGATACTGACTCAATCAAAGAGAACAAAAAATCCCCTTTCACAGGCTCTTCCTAAGATGAATATTTTAAAAGAAATGCTTTCGGCACTGTAATCTTGAAACACCTAGGCGTCTCTCTTGGTTGTGGATGTTGAATTGATTTTGTGCGTATTCTTTTGCCCTGGACTTCAAGTTACAACTTCACTTTAGTCTGATGGCTCCTTCAACAGATAGTGACATCGACCATCGCAATTTACAAAGGAGATTTTTTTATAGGTACAGTTTCCCCCCATGTTTGATAAATGCTTAATAAGTTTTTTTTTTAAAGATATTCCCCTCCATAAAAAACACTAATACACATCCTATTTTAATAGGCAATAGGTAAATAGCTTGGCTACTGATTTTGAAAAAACAATAACTGAGAAAGTCATTTTAGTTATGTTTGGAAGAGCAAAAAATAGATAATTTAATAATTGTCTTCTCACTGCCAAAGAGCTAACTTCTGGGAAAATTCACTAGAATGTATGGATTTCCTCCCTTTATAACAGAGAACCTGGCTACTTTCCTTTCACTGGGCAGTTCTGCTTACCCCCTGAGGGCGGTTCCCCCCCAACCCCCATGCGCCAGGCCCCCCACGATGCCACTGGTTACTTGTTTGCACTCACCATTAATCTCCTTTTATATTCCATCTGCCCTCTGTATTATCTTTCTTCTCTCTCCCACAACAGTGAAAGGTGAGTCTGTGACACTAAGAAGGTCTAGAAAGTCGCCAGAAACCTGAAATCCACATGTAATTGTGTAAACACAATTAGCACTACTGTAGTGGTTATCTCCAATTATCTCAGCCCTTGTTAGTTCTATTATCAGCAAGATAGGTTATGGACCAACTTTGGGGTCCTTCATTGCTTGTGGTAAAGAGGATCATGGAGCAGTTAAGAGCAGTGATTTTCCGTTTGGTGAAACGTTTGTATTGACTATTACTATTAGCAGTAGAAATGGGGAGGGGTGGGGAGCAAGAAGCAAGAGGCTTTTGTCTTTGACCATTCCTAGTTTGTTAAAAGATTTATATGCTTTTTGGATCTCTTTTTTTTTTTTTTAAATATTTTTAAGAGATTGCAAACCACCATATTAAATGTAGCTGGTTCCAGTCTAATCCCACAATTTTGTAGCTCTGCTTCTTTGGGTATTTTGCCACTCTTCCTGAGGCAAGAACAATATATCTTA